AAGAACTACTTGCACCTAGAAATTTGCATTTTCATGAACTTTGGTCCCATATGAACTTCGATTGATCCAAAGTCAACTGTCACAAGTTTGTTAAGGTGAAATGGACTGTAGTGAAGTTTCACAGCCGCACTCCGACCTTTATTCCTTATTTTCACATGTCAACTGGCTGAATTCCACTCAAGAAGCTGAGATGCAACACGAGAAATCTTGATTAGTCAAATGACCTCAAATCATCCCAGTAGCTGAATTAAAGCTGAAAAAGTTTTGAAAGCTGAAATTTACCCATACTTGCTCAAATTTACCTGATTTTATTAAAAATGCTTAAATTAAGGGAAAATTGCCATTTGCTTCAAGCTTCAAATTAGACTGTAATTTTTACACACGAAAGTTAAAGAGTAATGATGGTTCTGATTTACATAAGTTCCGGAGAAAAAACAAAAATTTTCTTATAAGCAAAAACTATTAATTAAATACAATATTTTTTTCCGCCCCCCGAGGGGGCGGGGGAGGCGGCGCTTGGGAAACAGGCCAAGCTAGCCATGCCCTCAAGCAATATGAAATTGGAGCAGGAAAAACTCCAAATTTCAAGTTGGTGTATATGACAACTTCCAATTAGTTTTTGGCGGAGAAGAAATTTCAAGAAAGGGGGAACAAAATAAAAAGAACACATCTTCCATGAATGTCCAATTTTTTTCCTATTCTCAAACAGAAATATACTTCTATACCCTAAAGCAAAGTATTCCATCAAGAAACTCACCTTGACTGCCTACTTTAACGACGTAAATCCTATATCAAATTTATATATTTGAAAGTAATACAAACAAACAAGAAAAATAAACCTTATAATGTGACTATTCACAATGGTATTTAATTACTTCGCCAGACTTTTACCATAAACAAATTCAAAAATAATTATTGAATGATATATAATTTTTTTGGAACGCAAATAATGCCCAAAAAAATATATCAATAATAACAATAATGATGATTCAAATTTAATCATAATAAATAATGAGAAAAAACTGATGTATAAATCAATATGAAAGGCAAAAGTACTTTACACCTTGAAATTATAAAAACCTATTTAAACCCTAACAACTTATTAAGATCAACTTGACTTTCCTTATATTAATTTATGCTAGATTGCTAGAACGTTTCTAATTCTTCATCCTAGAATGGCTAGAATTAATTGTTGAATGGTTGATTCCAGTCGAAATAAAAAATCCCCAATTATAGGATGATGGCCAAGTACTTTCAAGAAATCTTTGATGAATTTTCAATGAGACTTTGATAAATTTTAGATAATTTAGATACTTTGGAGGAGATCCCAATTCTCTTTTACAACTCAAGGTGTTTTAGGATGTGTAAGAATCATTGGAAGGCTTGAAAATCCTGAAATAGAATAAAAATTATTGTGGCATGCCGTAGTAGGTTTTAGCATGCAAATTCTAGAATATAGAGTGTTATGGTGGACTCCAATGCGTTACAGCCTCCTACTATAGTAACCCTTTTTTTTTTCAACCCATTCATTCTTAAACTCAGTACTCACAAGTCTTAAATCCCTCAAAGATTCTCCAAGATTATTGAATCAGTATTTTCACTAAAATCTTAAATAAAGAGCTTTTATTTTTCTGGATTTTACTTATCATATTTTATTGAAAAATAAAATTGCAGGCATTTCTTTTAAGAGACCTTGCATGAAATATATCAAGATGCAAAATTGTACGCGTATTTTGCTTTCTTTTGGCCATCCCTAAAAAAGTAAGAACTTTGATATGTCAATTATGACCCAACATTTTCAATCATTGGAGTTCAGTAGACAACTTATTTAGCAAAATGAGATTCCTAAATTTATTGAGCAAAATGTCAATAGGCAACCTATTGATCAATGGCCATGACAAAAGAAAAACAGAAAAAGGAGAAAAAAAAACTTATAAAGGTAACAAATCCTTCTGAAGCTTCAAAAATGGCCTTCATTCAATCAGGTGGAGGAGTGGCTGTCTTGAGCAGCACTTTAAATTTCAGAAAAACACAAAGTAATGCATACACAAAGAAAGTACCCATACATAAACTACAAATCTCATACTGCCTGGCTTATAGATTATCAACTTATCACGAGTAAGTTTACAGTTAAGCAATCTATCTGGAGAGATGTCAAATACAAGGCCATATTTGAAAACTCATGTTTTATCTAAGCGGCTAATGTCTACTTTGCACCATTCAGCTACTTTAATGGAATAAAAGTCGTCTTTTAAATTTATCAAAAAGATAACTTGCCTTCTGAAAATAAATATTTTGTAGAATAAAATGCATGGACAGAAATACCTCCCTTGTTTTGCTTTTACATCCCATTATAGAAAACCTGATCATCTGTTAAGGAACCTAATTCCTTATTCCCAATAACACCATTCAATTGACCCATGAATCTGAGTGATAAACCACTGTGCCGGGCCTCCATTTTATGATGCCATTGAGAAAAATTCAATTTTATGGAATCCGAGGTATTAAATCATCAAGAGAAGGATAAAACAACGATCTAAAAATATTAACCAACTCAATATTGTCCTTGGCAGCTTTCTTCCTTGAGATCTCGCTTTCCTCCAATGGTAAATCGAGGACATTTAGTCTTGCAGTGGCATAGTCATTGCACCTCTCTTTTCTGTGTTTTTTATGTTTTTAATTTTCAAATTCACTTCCATGCACTTGGTGTTCCTGTTAGTCTCACTGAATTTGGTTTAATTTGATGTAACTCAATTATTTAGTGGTCAGTGTAACCAATTAATTCTTTAGCGGCCAGTGTAACCAATTAGTTTAGTGGGTTCTTTAGACTTTCACCAAAAATTTATGTAACTGAACTATGATTTTATATGCCATATGATATAGGAAATTTCAGCATCCAAAGTGTCAGTAGAAATGTCTTTACTTTACCAATATAGTTATTTAATATTTTTTTTGATATTTCTTCAAATCCTTTTCTTTTTTACCTTTCAATGAATTTTGTTATTTTCCTTTCATATATTACAAGTCAGCCAATTGACACCCGAATAGGGAAGACATATAACACAGATTATGACAAAACCAATACACAAGCTCAACTCATCTAAGCCCCAAATTCATAGTGATCATGACAGTCTTACCGATACTTCACAAAATATATGAATCCTGCAACAACTGTGAGCAGATAACAAGGTAAAAGAACCAATGAGCTAGTTAGACATGAAAGTCAAATTTAGAGTTCAAAATTAACGAACAATGAAATGGATATGCACAAAAATTAAACAAGCCTGATAAAAAGCAAAACAGTTATTTTGGCTTAGAATATTTTCTCAAGAGAATAGGAGCTCCAATCATTTGCTTGCCATTATAAGTGAACCAGCTGCCCTCTTAGTGCTTTTGACAAAATTAAGAAGATACAGACCAAAAAGCCACTGTCGTTGTTTAGCATTATAAATAGTTAGATATTCCACTAAAGTGCCTGCCAGCATGGTCCAAAAATAACTGATGTAAAGCGAGGAAAGAATGATGGGTCTAAATGTGCAACCTTCTTTGGCTGCCATGACAGTAATGGGAATAGAGAAGGCTCTTTAATAAGTTGCCTAACAGCATATCCAAGATAACTGAAAATAAAACAGGAAGCAAAGATGGAGCTAAATATGCAACCTTCTTTGGCTGCAATAAATATCATTGGGAGTAGATAAGGTTTTGCAACTTCTTGAAGCTTAGACCACTGCCCTTGTGTGTACCTGTAGTGGGAGGTCATGTGGTGGGTATGAACACAGTGAAAACCTTTTGCATGTTTGCACATTAATAGCACTTCCCTTAGTGTTTTCAATTGATAAGAAACAAAACCACCTTAAATCTAATTTGAACCTCGTGAAAACCCATTTAATGTTAGAACATGAATACTTCTTCCCTTGTTGACATGGAAGGAATTATTACTACTTCCAACACTGCTTTGTAATTTCCACACTACATAGTCCCAGACCCATGTCCACCACTGGTGGTCCGTGGCTGCTATTTGTATGACATGACTGCTTCTATTGTAAGAATACGCTATCATTAATAATTGGATAAGTTAAAAAGAGAAGGCAATGATCGATCATCGGGAAAAAAAAGTTACCGACACTGAAACAAAATGGCAATTCACAAATTATGTCATACCAACTTTTGTAGCAAGGTGCATTCGTGGAGGCTCAAAGGGGCAACCATATGTCAAAAGACATACGTATTTGAATTGATGTTTAGGATTTAAAATATCTTTCTCTCATCCAAATTACAAACAAAAAAATAATTGCAAAAATCTGTTTCATACATAAACAATGAGATTAAGGGTCCCTTAGACATGATATAGAACATTCAAGATTAGTATTACACCAAATATTTTACAATAGTCAGAAAGAAACTCATTGGTATCCTTCTCAAATGGCTAAAGCATAGGGAATCGTAAAAAACATGAGTTGATGGAGTCCAATAATTGAAAATTGAAGGGCATACCCAAAATACAACAAAGTCAAAGCATTGAGGACCTCAGCTATTCTTGATGATTTGCATATTATCCATTCGAGCAGTCTTTCGGAAAGCATATATAGCTTAGTTACAATGCAAGTCCGTTTTGCAAGAAAACATTGCCATACCTTGATTATTGTCAACTCATGCATAACATGGTGTCATCTTTTTCTTTTTAATTTTTACTAATCTAATGTTTTGCAGGCAGAAAACAGAGACATACAGAACAGGGGAAATAACAGAGAGAAGAGGGCTCAGGGAAGGTGTGCATTTATATTAAAGCTGAATTGTTCATTTCCTAAAGTTCTTCTCACTTTTGAACATAAAGTTTAATGTATTAGCAAAAATGAAGCGATCAGCATAAGTAAGCCTATCAAAAGTGACTAAAACACCAGATTCAGTCATATGTGACCTTTAGAGCTAGAACATGTCCTCTTGATGGAGCAACAACACCCAAGGCTTTCTCTATTAGCTTCTCCTGCCAGCTTGTGCCAATGCAAGGCAAAATCTTCCTACCTACTAGCTCACCATGTGATCACCTGCCCTTTGAAACCACACCTCTAAACCCTAGCTCACCGCCGAATTATGGTGTTTTACTTGTAATTACTAGCACAGTTGCTGCTGTGAAGTCGAAGCAGCTGTAGTATTTAACATTCTTATGCTTCCCATGCAATAAATATCGAACTTTTGTTAAGGTTACTTCTTTTTACATTTTTTTTTAAAACTTTTTATACGAGTAATTCTAAAAGTTGGTAACTTAACGTATTAAATACAATAAAGTTTGTCTGACAGTTGATTCTTATATTGTTTAATCTTGCCATGTAGGCCTTTAAGGAAGCCATTGCTGAGCTGGACACTTCGGGTGAGGAGTCTTACATAGATAGCACTCTCATCATGCAACTGCTGAGGGACAATCTCACCCTCTCTACTTCTGACATGCAGGTCAGTAAATATTATATGATAAATTGGAATACTTTCTTTTGAATAAGGTTTTTATTTGATTTACTTCTTTGGATGTATAGCTATATCTAGGCTGAAGCTCTCACCAACTAGCTACTTTTTGTTTTCACATAGGACTTCTATAAGCTTATGAAATGTAATTCCCACAACTATTTGTAAAACTGTACTTACTTGAACTTGTGGTCACATTGTTAAATTTTATATAGAGTGCCTATTATATTGCTACTATAATGGGTATTGACGAACTTTAAATATGTGAAAATTAATATGTTATTGGGTATTTTAGCACTTTTGAAATGCTGCCTCAAAACATCCAGTTAAATATTCGAGCACTTTTTCAGCTTTATTTTGAAAGTCCTTTTTCACAAAGTCATTTGTACATAAGGATTGAAAGTACTAAGAAGCTACGCCAAATGGCCAGTCCAATTGTTTTATTATTTATTTGTTTGTTTTTTTTTTGTGATAAAGCAATTTGACCCCTGGATTATGAAAATATTGATTTTGGTACTTACACTTTGACGAAGTAGTCAAATTGGCTCTTTCATTAAACATAAACTAGTTATTTGACTGACATTAACAAAAGGGTCAATTTGACCAAATTCCTCAAAGTACATATATAAAAATGAATATTTTCGTAATATAAGTACCAAATCGAAAATTTTAACACAGTAAGGGCAAAAATGGTCTTAATTCTTTTTATTGCATAGTCAGTCTTTTGGTACACCAATCTTTATGGCCAAACTTGGTCCCTGTTTGCGATTATATTCACAGACAACTGGGTGTAAAACATAATAAAAGCAAATAACTAAAACAACTCTCCTATGCTGCCACTAACCACACTTGTGAAAGGTACGAATTTTAGGCTTTCCATTGCCAACAGTATTATTGTATTTAGTTGACTTGTTGAGCAATGTTACTGTCCACTTTTAGCAATTTAGTTGCTGATTTTGCCAAACCTAGGCCCTTAAGATGACGGTCGCTTGACCTCCTGAAAAATTAAAACTTCTAATGCCACCACTAACATTGTACTATATTCGGCATAGGCGAGAGGATCTTGGATTTTGTTATGTTCCAGATTCCTTTTGATAATGTTACTTTATAACTTGCAGCTTTATGAATTGGGAAGCATTCTTGATACAATATTCATAGGGAATCATCTGAACGAATTTTGTTTAGAGAATCTAAATTTGAAATGATTCCTTATGAATATATAAGTAAGATAATTTTATAAATTTGTCATCTGTGTAAACAGTTTGTATAATCTAATCTGTTTGAAGGTTTTAGTTATGTACTTCAATTAGTTTTTGTTGGAACAGGGTGAAATTGATGTTAAGAATATAAAGGAGTGAAATCAGCCTCTTCTTTTCACCAAATCATGGCACATAACTGTATTCTTTTTAGTTTAGAAAATTAAATGGTGATCTAGTAATATTGAAAGTTTTAGGATGTATTAGTAACCTAAATTAGGTCCAGGTTCGAAAACCTGGCCACTGGTGCAAGGAAATGAAAATAAGAAGAACCTCATGTAGCAAGAAAAGAAAGTGCCTGAGATGCATTGTCCTATTTGAAGCCTGTAACCCAATGATCTTGTGTAATGCCATAATCATCTTTCACGTTGAAATGGCGACTCTTTTCGATTTGAAGATTTAAAATGAAACATAGCTATCACAAATGTTAAGATTGTCCGTGCAATGTTCCATGGGGGGTTTTTCAAGTATCATTTGCTTATCTGAGACTATATCTAAATTTTTATGTTGGGTTGATGCAGGAGCAAATAGACGAGGCTTGACCAGATGTGTCAGTCTACTCCTTGAAGGAGGTGGGCTTGAATGCCATAAGTTGTATAATATTCATATATTGCCTAACATGTGGCATATATTTTGTAATAACCCGATTTGTCTTTATTTTTCCTTTGGGAGTGTTTTGAACAAATTGAAACAATTGGGGATTAAAATGAAGAGACCAAAATGTGGGGGACCGAATTGAAAAAAAAAAATTATTTTGGGGAAAGGGGACCTTCGGCCGGAAACCGGCCGAAGGGTATGGAAGGAATTAAGCTCCAATAGGAGCTCAATAGTTTGAACCTACTTTATAGCCTGGTGGGTTCTGATAAAACAAGGCCAAGGATGATCGAATTGAGAGTTTTGCAGTGAGAGGAGTGAGAATTAGGGAGTTTTTGGTTCGGTCGCCATTCGAGTGGGGGACGGATTTTCAGAGGATTGAAGGCGATTCAGTCCATTTTGCTTTGGTTGAACAGTTTTGTGGAGCTCGTAGGATTCGATTTTGGGGGTCTTGATCTTCATTTGAGCCAGGTATGTGGGATTGCTTTGTTTTAATGGAGTTTTGAGGATTCGGGTCTGTTACAGACCTGGATAACTGGTTGGCGCCTAGTCGGGCGACAGGGAAGGGACCCAGCTGAGCTGGTCCCACATGGGAGTCGGCTCGAGCCGTGGGCTCAGGCTCGGCCTGTCCAAGCTGCTGGCCCGTGGGCTTGAGCCGTGGGCCAGCCTAGAGGGGGAAAGGGGTTGCAGGTCCGGGGCTGGGGGTTTGGGCGGGGAAGACAGACCCAGGTGGAATCGGGTCCATCCGAGAGTGGGCCAGGCCCGCTTAGGCCCGGGTCTGGCAGGGTTAGGCCACAACCCATGGGCTCAACCCCGATGAGCCGCAGGTCCATGGGCTGAGCGTGGGCCAGCCCAAGCAGGGGGCTGGGCTGAGCCGACCCGCTGGGTCGACTCAACCTAGTGAGGAGAGAACTGGGTCAACTCAGTTGAGTTGACTCGGAAAAGAAATCAGGATAGCCTATTCCAGGGGGGAATAGGAAATCAAGGATAGGGCCAGATTGGGGATAACAGGGATAGTATAACCCATAATTTTTGGAATAGGGGCTTAGAGTTGACTGAACTGGCCAGAAACGGTCCAAGGTTTGACTGGCCAGTTCAATGGTCAAACGGACTCGGATTTGGGAAGTTGGACTGGTTCTAGGTTCAAGAAGAAAATACCTATTAAACCAAGTGGGTTCGGGAAATTTTGGGTGGCGGTTTGAGGTGAACTGGCCGGTTTAGTGTAATTCCTTCGGGTGACCAGTTCACCAATTTTTGGGCCGATTCTTGGGGAAGTTGGACGGTTCCTGGTTTAATATGATGAAACCTAGTTGACCATGGAATTTGGTGATGTTTGGAGGTCTAGTTCAAGGTGAATCGGCCTCGGTTTGTGTGCCAATGTCCCGGATTAGGATTTTTGGCTCGGTTCGGCCTAACCTTAAAGGTTTTTGGCCAGGTTAATATGGTTACTAAGGTTTTTGGGACCTTCTGAATCCATTTTTGAGGGTTTTGTGGTTAATCGAGTTGAGTTTGAGGTAGTTTTGGGATCGAGTTAAGCCGGTTTAGGGGTTTCAGAGACTAGTTCATTATGGATTGGGAGTTGTGGAGGCTGGTCCTTTACTTTTAAGGGTTGTTGAGTCGAAGTATGAGTATTAGTGAGTCGGGCAGGATCCGGTGATGGGTAGTGGTGTCTCAGGAGGTGTGTTGGGTACAAGAATGGGATTTAAGTCCTGTCTTGGGCTGTCGAGCTGTTTGGGTACTGACGATGAGGTCGGTGACGGTTTTGTATGGTTTTGACTTCAGGTTCACCCGTGAAGGTGCACCGGGACCGGAGGGTTGATTAACGTGACTTGAGACTTTTGTTAGATTTGGCCTACACTGTGAGTGATGATACCCTCTCTGTGCATGTACTTTTGTGCCCGTTTTCCTAGCATGATGATTGTGTGGATTCATAAACTGTATTTTGATACATGAACCATATGATATGTATTATGTGTCGATTTCTGTGTGGTGGGATACGTTGGTATGTGAAATAGGGTTGGGACTTGGAAACTGTATATGTCGTATGCCTGTTGTATGAATGTGTGGGAAGTTCATGATACGCTGAGACCGTTTGCTCCGATCGTGAGATAGAGGATGCCTCTCGATCAGGAGCGTGTAGTGGTTGCCCGGGTGGGCATGTGGCTCTGGTTGGGAGATGGAGGATGCCTCTCAACCGGGAGCATGATGTGTAATTGTGTTGGGGCCTAATCGCGAGATGGAGAATTCCTCTGATCGAGGCCAGAGTCTCAGTGATCATTATACTTCCAGATTTGTGTATATTTTATGTTGGTATTGATCGTTTTATGTATGCTCTTGACTTGCGTGTGTGGATGGTGTTGTGTGATGTGATGTGATGTGAGGATGCCAGGTACTCAACTAGAGTATGGATCCGTAGCGTCCAGTGGTGAGTCGGCCTGGGTCGTGTGTGATATGGCGATGCCAGGAACTCGGCTGGAGTATGGCGGTCTGTAGCATCCAATGGTGAGTCGGCCTAGATTGTGTGTGATGTAGCGATACCAGGAACTCGGCTGGAGTACGGCGGTCCGTAGCGTCTAGTGGTGAGTCGGCCTGGGTCCAGGGTTGTGATGTGATTTGATGTGTTGCGATGTGATGTAATGTGATGTGATGCGTGGTTAGTGGTATCTCTCAGAGTATAGATGATGTATTATTGATTGCTGAATATGTACATATAGTTTTTGATTTATGGCATAATGCATATTCAAACATGCATAAAGTAGGTATCATTCGTACTCACTGAGTTTCGTGACTCACTTATTATAACATTTCCAAATATAGGTTGTTGTTCTCGGGTTACGTGCCAGGATCGAGACGATTGTCTGCTCCTCCAGTCATTGTACGAGCGAGTTCTTTGTTTATTGTTTTGTACTCTAGGGCTCCCTTTATCCCTCAGGCAGGATCCTGGCTTGTAAATGACAGTTTTGAAATATATATATATATATATATATATAAATGTTTGGGCTAGTTTTAGTATATGTTTGCGATGGTAAGGCTGACTAGGGTCAGGGACCCTAGTGCCGGTCAGGGCCTAGGTTGGGGCCCTAACATATTCTCAGATTTATATAGGTTGTAACTGTAATGTAATAATTTGATTTGCAAACTGGATTGTTATTTCACTTGTCGGTTGGTTGCCAGAAGTTGCTTCTCACAATTTTTTTACTTGTGTCATAAAAATTTAAATCAAAACGCGAGTATAAAACAGTGAGAATGGGG